AAAAAAAAAAAAAAAAAAAAAAAAAACCAAAAAAAACAGCTAAGTGAGGGGGCTCCAAAAAGTTCGTGAAAAATGAAACTAAAAGATGTATTTTTCATGGAATGAGAACCGTCTTTGGGATACACATCATCTCAATCCCAATGCCTGCTCCACTGCAATCCAGCTCCCTGCTGGTGGTCTAGGAAAAGTGGCAGAGGATGGCCCAAGTGTTTGGGCCCCTGACACCTATGTGGGGGATCCAGAAGAAGCCCAGGGCTCCTGGCTGTGGCCAGCCTAGTACTGGCCACTGTGGCCATCTTGGCAGAGAACCAGGAGATGGAAGTTCACTCTTTCTTGCTTCCTCTCTCTAACTCTTCCAAAAAAAAATAAATCTTTTAAAAAAGGTAAGTCTTGGGTATACCTTACCAAGCCTTGAGAAAAGTGTGTAAATAACATGAACACTCCAAAAAGTTGACGAAAAATGAATTTATTAAAAAAACTATGGGATGCTGTTTGGAAAGCCTGTCTACTGCATCAGCGGGCATGGGTTCAAGTCCCGGCTCCAGCTCCCGCTTCAGCCTCTAGATAACGAGTGCACTTGGAGACAGCGCTGACAGTTCAAGTTCTTCGGTATGTGCTACACATGTGGGAGACCTGCATTGAGTTCTACTCTCCTGTTTCTGGCTTGGCCCAGACTCTACCATTCCAGGCATTCAGGCAGTGAACCAGTAAATGGAAGTTCTCTATTTCTACCTCTCTTCAAATAAATAAATTAATAACAATTTTTAAAAGATTAATTTTGCCGAAAAAAAATTTTGTCATTTGCTTCTTCACCAATTTTGTTAAAGGATTTATTTTATTTGAAAGGCAGAGTTACAGATAGTGGGAGAGAAAGATACACACACACAGGGGTGGGAGAGAGAGAGAGATCCTCCATTTACTGATTCACTTCCCAAATGGTAGCAACTACCAGGACTTGGCCAGGAGTCAGAAGCTTCATCTGGGTCTCTCACAAGGATGCAGGGACCCGAGGACTTGGACCATCTTCTTCTGCTTTCCCAGGCACATTAGCAAGAAATTGGATCAGAAGTAGAGCAACCAGGACTTGAATCAATGCCCATATGAGATACTGGCATTGCACGTGGGAGCTTAACCCGCTACACCACAACACCAGCCCTACTTCATCAACTCTTAAAAGTTGTTTTTGTTAAATAATGGCTACTCAGAAAAGAACACTTGTAAAGAAAAAAAGATTTCAACAACCTACAGCCATTAGGCTCCAGCCACCGTTCCCTCCAAACATGTGATACTTGGTTGTCTCCTGGTCACTGTGAAACCAGTTGTCCAGGGAAGGAGAGCACATGTACGATGTTCAGCTGAAACAGTAGGCCAACTTCCCTTGTCCTCTTTCTTTCCCTCATTAAAATTTAGGCCTCCTCCAGTGGTGGATGACAAGCATATTGTTCTGTTTACACACATGCTTCCATCCCCACCTCCTGGGGTATTATACCCAAATACTACTGAGAGGTGTTTTTATCTGACTCTTGACCTGGCCTTATTTCTTCATATTTGTCCCCGTTTCATAATGATAACAGAGCACCATGTTTAAAACAAAGCACTTTCGGTCTCCCAATTCCGAATCTGACATCTGAAAAAAAACTTCTTAAAACACAAACACCTGTTTCTTCCTCTGACTACATCCATGTAGTAACAGCCCCATTGACCAAAGTCACATTTGAAGGGAGTGAGGCAGCCACTGTCAATACACCATTGAAGAAGGAAAACAAAGTTAAGACTAGCTCCAGTGAAATCTAACTCCTTATCTTGTAGGTCAGCAAAGGTAAGAAATCACTCAGCACCCCACTGCACCCCCAGCTAACACGCCACACAGTGGATAGGAAAGGAGAAGGTTTTGCTATAGTTTCAGCATCAGTGAAATTTAAAAAAATAACTGCTTCATTTCCACCACTACAGGGAAGCTGGGCACTGGTAGCAGCAACATTCTAATAGAAAAACACGAGACGCTGGGAAAACACATGATTGAAAAGGACCTACCTGGAAGAGTCCATCACTTGGTACCATGACCTGTAAGGAAGACCTGGTCTGTAGCTGCCTTCACAAAGTCATCACTCACCTCCGCATATTGTGCTACCGAACTGGCTTCAACTGCATAGACTTTCTTAGTGCCAGCCTGTACGGCAAAAAAAGACAGTATTCCCAATCCACAGCCCACATCTAGCACAACCTGCAAGGAGAGAAGACAAAGAAGGCCTTAAAACACAAACAGGTGATTGGCACCTGATTGGTACAAGATCAGCTCTGAGCATTCGGATCAGACGTAACTGAGGTACAAGCTTAGCTATTTATTAGTGGTCCTGCCTGGGCAAAGTTAGGAGTCTCTGAGAGTTTATTTCTCCCACACATTAAATGGAATTAATAATAGTCACTTTTCAAGGTTGGTGGTAGGGACTGAATAATATGAAATATAGGCAAAGCACATTTCACGTGATTCTCATGTCTTATGTCATTGTTAGTATCATTGTAACTTCTAAGAACATTTATTTATTTATTTGGAAGGCAGAGTTATGGGGGTTGGGAGGGAGAGAGCTTCTATCTGCTGGTTCACCCCCCACATGGCTGCAATGGCCGAAGCTGGGCCAATCCAGACTCAGGAGCCAGGAGCTTCATCCAGGTTTCCCACATGGTTACAGGGGCCCAAGCACTTGGACTATTTTCTGCTATTTTCCCATGCCGTTAGCAGGGAGCTTGTTTGGAAGTGAAACATGGGGGACACAAACTGACACCCATACGGGATGGTGGCCTTGAATGTGGTGAGTTTACCTGCTATGCCACAATGCCAGCTCCTATTGTAGTTTGTTAGTAACCTGGCCTGCTCTGGGGATGCATAGGGCCAAGAATAGCAGATTGTCATGAGTGAGCTTGCTCCACCAAGTCTATCAAAAGGAACAAAATGAAAACCGTTTCAAGTATGTTTAGAAATAAATGAAGACAAAATGCTGAAATATGTAAAGTGAGGTGTGTGTGCTTTTTTTTTTTTTTTTTTAAACGGGGCTCCCTCCCCACAGGTGGGGACATTTCTGTGAAGGGCATGGGTGTATTAAGGTACTCAATTGCTGACATTTTTGTTCCACTGTCTGTGTTCAGATTTGCAACTTCTATCAAGGAAACTGCCATTCACCAGCACAGAAGTTACCCTTGGAATCTGTGTGCTGAGTACAAGGTTCACAGAACCTTGCCAAGGCTAAGACCCCAATTTCCATCTGAGAGATGAATTTTCAAGATGTTGTACTTTATCTCATTGCTGACTTTCATTCTGAGCATCTTTGGCAGTAAACATTGTTACCTGGTTTTCAATTTTCATATTAGCCACATGAGTAGACAGCATTATTAAACCCACTTAATAGATGAAAAGACTAAAAATCAGAGTCACTAACCAACCAACTCAAGTTCAAGTAACAGTAAGTAGGGGAGCCAAAAACTGAAAAAGAACATTGTACCTTCCAAGCTCTTGTTCCACATTATCATACAGTGCTTACTAAGATTCCTCTTCTATATAATTAAAATTCCACACAGTAATGCCAATCGGCAATATTTGACAAAGAAACTAGGATTCTTGTTAGAAAATTTAGGTAAGTTAACAAATCCTAGTAGTAAGAAAATTTTTACAAAAAAAAAAAAAGAGGAGGAGATATCAGGAAGTTTTATGCCTGCATGTGTGTGTCTTAACCACAATATCACACTGTGCTGACATAGATACTGTGCCATTATTCCACGAGAACATGCTGTTTGTAATGGGTTCACAGTGCTCACTTATATTAATTCTAGAGCTGTGGCTGTATTCCATATGGTTTCCTAGGGTTTGAGTAATTAGCAGCACTACCAATTTAAAATGTCACCCAGACTCCAAAATTGGCTGTCAGGCTGTCTATACTTTTAGAAATACCAACATTCTCTTCTCTTCATCCTTCCCAGGAAATACATACTCGTCCATGGCCACGGTCCACTGCGTGAATACTCATAACTGTCATTTAGGAAGAGGATGCTGTAAGGTTGGAGAGTGCAGCCCATGGCCCCAAAGAATATGCACCCTACTTAGGAGAATCTTGCCAGGACCTTATTCAATACACTTCCAGCTACCAAGTTTAACCCAAAGTATGGCTGCAAAATTAAAAAATGGGAATTGCATCTGGATGCTCTGGTGACAGATGCCTTAGAAATGTGTAAATGGGGCTCTTTGCCTAATTGATTAAGGTGACATGAACATCATGTTTTTTAGTTCTCTTGTACCTACAGACTAAAAAGCAAAGAAATATCTCATCACTAGGAGATAGATTGGAGAGAAAGGGAATGAGGACAGAGAGAAAACAGCCAGAGATGGAAGGGAACCTGACACGGTTAAATCTTTGCCAAACTGGTCTACTTGGGAGGAATATACTTTAATAGATCTGGACCATAGCTACAGAAGAAGTGGAACCTTACAAACTGAGGCAATTTTCTAAATACATTGAACCACAATCTCAGTTGTTTGACTAATTCAACACAGACCATCGGTCTTGAAAAGGGTTTTTTTTGTTTTAGCATTATAATTCCATGAGCTTCTTTTTTGTGTGTATACTTAAAAATGTAATAAGTGAATTTTGTAAAGATTTATTTCTAATTACTTGAGAACAATAGTTAGAGAGAGAGAGGGAGAGAGAGAGAGGTCTTCCATCTGCTGGTTCATTCCTCAGATGGCTGAAACAGCTGGTGCTGAGCCCATCTGAAGCCAGGAGCTTCTTCCAAGGCTCTCATATGGGTGCAGGGACCCAAGGACTTGGGCCATGTTCTATTGCTTTCCCAGGCCATCAGCAGGGAGCTGGATCAGAAGTGGAGCAACCAGGACTCGAACCAGCACCCATACAGGATGCTAGCACCACAGGTGGATGCTTAACCTACTACGCCACAGCGTGCTGGTCCCAATAAGTGAATTTTCAATCATATGACTGGGAAGAGTGAGTGAGGAGGTCAAGGACATTGGGCCTTGTCTACAGAAGCCATTAACTTGGTAAACAAAGCCATGGAGGGCTGAGGATAAAGTTCATGGTGAAAAATCACTTGGCTTGGGGCTGGTGTTGTAGTGTAGTGGGTGAAGCCACCACCTACAACACCAGCATCCGATATGGGCACCAGTTCGAGTCCAGGCTCCTCCACTTTCAAGCCAGAACACTGCTAATGTGCTTGTGAGGGCACCAGAGGATAGCTCAAGTGCTTGGGTCCCTGAACTCACATGGGAGACCCAGAAGAAGCTCCTGGCTCCGGTCTGGCCCAGCTCTGGCCTTGTGGCCATTTGGGGAATGAACCATTAGATGGAATATCTGTGTCTCTCCCTCTATCTCTGTAATTCTGGCTGTCCAATAAATAAGTTTTTTTTTTTTTTTTTGACAGGCAGAGTGGACAATGAGAGAGAGAGAGAGAGAGGAAGGTCTTCCTTTTCCGTTGGCTCACCCCATAATGGCTGCTGCGGCTGGTGTGCTGCACCCATCCGAAGGCAGGAGCCAGGGGTGCTTCTCCTGGTCTCCCATGGGGTGCAGGGCCCAAGCACTTGGGCCATCCTCCACTGCACTCCTGGGCCACAGCAGAGAGCTGGACTGGAAGAAGAGCAACCGGGACAGAATCCGGTGCCCCGACCGGGACTAGAACCCGGTGTGCCGGCGCCGCAGGTCAAGGATTAGCCTATTGAGCCGCGGCGCCAGCCCGCTCAGCTTGGATTTTCAACTGGATGTTGCTCAGCTGGGATTTTCAGGAAGTGAGCTACGTTCAAAGTGCTTTTGGCTTACTGTATTTTCAACTTGCGATGGATGTATGGGGATGCCATCCTAAGCTGAGGAACACCTGAACTCTCTGCTTCTTCTACAGTGAAAATGAGGACCACCTGTTGAGTTGCACAGAGCCTGAATCCCTGGGCCAGCACTTTGGCAGCAGCCCCTCAGAGAACACTGGACGTGGCACGAGCAAGCCATCCATTTTCCGATGTTGAACACCGAGATTAGGGAACCATTTGCTTCAGTAGGTTGCATGCACTGACCGCTACGTTTCCTTTCAGTGACATCCCCTCATCTCATTTTGCTACCTGGGAAACTCATCCTTCAAGACCCGGCTTAGGGGCTGACAGGGCATCATGGGCCACCGCCTGTGACGCTGGCATCCCATGTGAGTACCAGGTCAAGTCCCAGCTCCTTCACTTCTGACCCAGCTTCACGCTAATGTGACTGGGAAAGCGGCAGAAGATGGAGGTACCTGTGTCCTCACCACTCATGGAGGAGACTTGGATGGAGTTCCAGGCTCCTGGCTTCGGCCCGGCTCACCCCAGTCATTGTGGTTATTTGGGAAGTGAACTAGTGGATAACTAACTCACTCATTCTCTCTCTCTCTCTCTCTCTAACTGCCTCTTAAATAAATAAATAAATCTTTTTTTTAAAGACACAGTTGAAAAATCCCTCTTTGGCAATGCATTTCCCACCTCCCCCAGTCAGTCTTGACTGGGCTCTCTGGTACCTAACACACTGCTCCATAACCGCACTCAGCACAGGATAGTGCGAGTATTTCTTTATGTGCGTATCTTCCCTGTTTAGCTTTTGGGCTTCCTGAAGATAGGAATCACAGAATTCTTTTAAAAACTTTTAATTTATCTTTTTTATTTTTTAAAATTTTTATCAATATAATGAGAACAGATCTCATGCATTCCAGAGGTTGTTTTCTTGGGATCATATAATCTAACTCTCAGCTATTAGCTAGCACAGCTGGAAAGAAACAACAAAAAAAACCATAATAATTATTTTTTGCCTAAATGACTTAATGGGAAGACACAAAATGGCAGCCTCCTACTTCCAAACTCCCCTGAGATGTATCAGCAATGCCGTGACTTCTGCCAGCCATTCGAGTCTGGGAGTACTCTTGCATTGCCAGCCATCAAGGAGGAGGAGCCCAGCACATCCTTGCCTGATCCGAGACTGAGATCCTCAGCCTCCCTTGTCTTCTGCATGCTGGGTCATTTCTCATTTCTTGGCCTCCAGATCACCTCACAGACCTGAATTTTACACTCTGGTCAGTTCAGAATCTCCACCTTTCCTCCTCGACTATGATCCGAACATTGTCACTATTCTGGTTATCTGAGGTATTCATTTGCCAAATCCATATGCCCTGGCATAGGCCTTCTTAGAAGGTTTCTTTCATTCCAGCCACAGG